TCGTATGCAACCTGCATGATGCCTGTGACTAATCGGCGAGGCTTATATATTGTTTACATTCTCTTATTTAACCTCATGGTTACAAATGTTTTTACAATATTAGGTTATTATAAACTTTGCATAATTCAGCCCATTATGTAATTGGATCAACCTGACCTATATATTACGACTAGATAGGAATTTAAAAATTCATCAATTACTGTTATTACATAATATTTAGAAAAAGGGTTAAACAATGTTTGTTCTTGGCAATTAATTTAGTTCATTTATCATTTACATTTTGTCAAACTATATCTATTTGACTTACTATGTTTCCAATTTATCTTGTAAGATTGGCATCGTATTTTATGGATATAGAAACGAATTCTGATAAGATGGAATGAATTAATTGTTAAACATGAAATGGAGACACTGTTTAGGGGAACATATTGATTGCTGGAATTGATTATTAAACATTGGATGAATTATAATTAAAATGATCACATTTTAATTAATTTTCTTCCTTTATATTAATTTAATTGGCTTGAGGAGTGCAATAACTTGGAGTACTTGCAATATTTTATAAACCTATGATAAATATAATGAATACCTGAGTTATTCTCATTGTTTTAGTCCTCATTGAGACCATATTATTTAGAACTATCTTCATTTTATTTTTGATTTTTTGATCTTGTCATTCTTTAGAAATTTTCTATATTATCTTCAGCCACCTAAACTTTTTTGATTTTTTGAGGCTCTTTCGTGTTTTTCTAAGGTCTTCTCCTTTTCTAAAGCCTGCTCTAGTCTTCTTCGAAGGAATTGAGGGATTCCTCTTATAAATCTTCATCATCCGAATCACCTAAATCACATTAGTATCTTCTTTTTAGGTTGGAATAGAATCGATTTTTGACCATGTTTTCCTAAATAATTAGTTACAGAAATATACAGGTCTTCCATTCAAGAAACTTGAAATATAGCTCCATTTTGTTCCAAACTTCTTATATAATTTTAATATCAATTTATCTTCCTCTTCTGTCCACTTTTCTTAGTTAATCGTTCCTTAGAGTTAATTCAAATAACGCTCTCTAACTTATTTTCCAGTTCTCCAATTCATTACTGTACAAATCTTGCTCCATTTTTTTCCAAATTTTTAGACCAATTCTTACAATTATTCATCCTCTTCTGGTGACCACAGTTGTCTGGAAGTTGACTACATTATTAAAATTCATTACTTAATCTGGATGGAGTTATTACCACTTAATCATACACTCCAAAGGGGTTGGTCCATTTAGCAACGAACTGATTGATTTCCAGTTCCCTTGTTGCAACACATGAAGCTCTTTCAGTTTTTCTATACTCTTCATTGTCCATGTGAACTTCGTCTAATTTACTTTGGATATAAATACAACTTCAATAGGAGTCTCCTTCAATTCGCCATCATGCTGAGAATTAGATGCAACACTCATTCTGCACACAGAATTTTTTTTTAAATATAATGAAAAAATCATGCATAATTCATTCCTTTTTATATATGAAGATTGACGAATTATTATTAATCCTAAAATCTTTAAATATCTTTTGAGACTATAATCCAACGCATTGTACATTTTACATGAACACTATGCAACCTTATTTGAAAAAATACTAAACTTTAACGTCTATCAGCTTATATTATAAAATTCGTTTTGAAAATTATTATGCAGACCCCTCAAAATATTTTGATTAACAGAAAATTACATATAAACAACTTTATTCAAATTCTTTAAAAATTCTGATCTTCGCCCTAATTATTCACACCATTGCCCTGTATTTTCTGTAGCAACCCCATTTTTTTATGGTGTTTTTTATTTTTAATAAACTATTGATTTTGTTTAATCTTCTGTTATTGTGTATCAACGTTAACGAATTCTAAGAATTTCTTCTAATCAATTCAATCCTTCTCTAAATACACGAAGTCCACTGCAAAAAAAAGACCTTTTTCCAGACTTTCATCATTAAGGAATAAATTCAAGATTATTGAAATTATTATATAACTATTGAAGAAATTCTTTAATTCTGAAAATTGCAAGAACCAGATAATTGCTATAATAAGAAAAAAATTTGGACTTTTTCCATATATTATAATTTAATAATTATATCAACATATTGGTATTAGATAAAAAATTACTTCCTCTTTGTTATCATAAAGTCTCAGAATATTTTTCCACTTGCCTTAAAAACTTCATAGCCAGTGTTTTGAAGCTAATAGAAGTGATGCTGTAGAGTCGAGATCATTCCTTTTATAAAGAATCCACTTATAAAATGGCTGAAAAGTGTAAGGAGATTTTTAAGTTGAAGGTGAAATTGAAGAGTTATAGTTCAGAGCTTTTAGTGTATTCTTGACAATTCAAAAACTTAGATAATTGCATAATTAAGATACTTACCCAAATTTAATGATACATTTATAATATTGGTAGTAGTTGAAATCTTTAAAGTATTATATTTTGCCTTTATTCATACGTTGAATTATACTGATTATCTAGGTAAAGATAATGTACTAAATCCTGTTAACACCTTTTGAAGTTGTAATTTTCGGAGTTCTTTTTAATTTTAGAATAAATAAATGATATTTGGTGACAATGCTTTTTGTTCTTTATGTTTTAAGTTAGATTAAAAAATTAGATTAGTAAGTTGATATCATTATTAGTGCTGTTTTTTTTTTTTGCCCTTAATTAAAGATTATTTAATTACTGAAAAAAAAGAAAGTGCCATTAAAAAATAGAATTGTTATGGCTAAAATATGAAACATAATAACAATTTAAGAAATCATAAATTCTTTTGGTGTAATTTAAAGAGAATAAGTATTATAAATTAGATTATTGAAATCTTTATAAATTATCTTGAACCAAAAAGTAACAAGTTATTATGTTGGAACTAAGATTAGATGATTATGTCTTAAAACACAATTGCATTAGAATGATCAGCTAGATTTAAATATAGTCAATAAAATCAAGAGACTTTATGAAAAGTTTAAGAGTCAATAATGCAATGATAAATTTGATACTGAATTCATTACACTCTTCATATAAATATTGATTGATCATAAACTCATTTGAATACTAGCAAGAAAATATTGCTAGATTATTCTTTAAATATAACTAACCCCAAAATGAATTTTTAATTAAATACAGAATAGATACCTAGAATTACAAAAACTGTCTGGCTAGAAAAGAGAGATTAGATTATGTTGGATTAATAATGATATATATTTCAAAAATAATTAAAAAGAATTACAAATTTGATTTTCTAATTAGTAAAATACAAAAAAATGGAGTAACTTATATTGTTCAGAAAGCGAAATGAATATGTGTAAGTTGAACTACAACAGGAAGTGAAACCATAAATTTGATTGTTTCTTATAAATATTTGTATTCAATTATTTTCATTAATATAAATTTGTTAACCACTTGGGTAATTATAATTTAGATATTGAATCCTATGACTTATTATCTAATATTATTATTACTCATATATTCATTGTAAAGGGGATTTAATTTATTTAATTATTACATAAATGGGGTGTGGAGCATAAAAAAATTCAACAGGCCTGAATGAGAAACTTAGAGCTAGGGCTTTAGAAATATTTCGAAGAATTGATATCAATAATTCAGGTTCTATAGATAAAGATGAAACTTAAAAATTTTGGAAAACAAACTTCGCTAAAGTTAATACATAGGCTTTATTCAATGCTGTTGATTTTGATAAGAGCGGACAAATATCAGAAGATGAATGGATGGCTTTTTGGGAGATAGTTAAAAAAAGTGGTTATACTGATAAAGAAATCTCTGAAGAAGTATTTTGTTTAATCAATAAGAATAGCTGGATAATTTAATGGAAGGCAAAGCTTGGGTATAGTTCAAAAAAGTTGATGAGTTTGTTAAGAGAGATCAATTAAGA